AACCAGAGAGAAGAGGGATTTTAGGCCAGGTTACCAAGACATAGTTGTATTGTGGGGTAATGCAAGAAGCAGGGATCTAGGAGGTTAGAAGAGCTGCTTCTGTCACCTAGACAATTCCATATTGCCATATAAATGTAAAGAGACAGAAATAAAAATGACAGGCTGTGATAAGTTTTAAAAAAAAATAGAGGGTTCACTTTAGGGGTCATGTCACAGGAAAAAAATACGGCATTCAAGCATTTAGAAGGTATGCGAAATTGCCTATCATAATCAACTACTTCTCTCTTTTTCAAAAGCTGCTCTAGCTGAATTAAATGTGTGTGGAATGTGAATCCCCCTTAGTACTCAAGGCAAGAGAGAAAATTACTTCTACACAGAAAGTTACAGGTAAATGTCTCATCGTCTCATCAGAGGGATGGGACAGAACATGGGTGCTGTAGAGGGGAGAGGAAGGGGTACAGAGGCTTCACAAAAGGTGGCCTGTAGCATCTCTCACCAGTGGGCTCCTCTTACTCGGGCGCTTGCTGATTGAGGCCTGGGGTCTACTAGCTGATCTTTGGGCTGGCTTCCAGCCTTTTCCCTTTCCCGTCCATCCATCATTGCAACCTGGTGTAAAGAACAAGCGTCTCAACTGGGAAATCGAGAGGCGTGGTTCCAGGCCCACCTCTGCCACTGTGTGGCCTTATGTTAGCCCCTCCTCTTCCTGGTTCTCAGCCTTTCTCAGAGTGGACTCTGTGGAGCAGTATTTTCATGAGAAAAAATAAGCACTCTCCCTGTGCCTCTTGGAGAGTCTCAACCAAAAAACCAAACCTGTTGCCATCGAGTTGAGTCCAACTCATAGCCACCCCATAGGACAGAGTAGAATTGCCCCACAGGGTTTCCAAGGAGCAGCTGGTGGATTCAAACTGCTGACCTTTTGGTTAGCAGCTGAGCTGTTAACCACCATGCCACCAGGGCTCCACTGAACCATGCAGTCCTACAATAAAGAAACCTATTCCACCCACTGTTTCCAAACTCATGTAAACATGGAATCCACCCTTTCTCTTTTGCCTAACACTACTTACAAGCAATATATTTTGAAATATGTAGACAGTCCCAAGAGCCCCCTTCCAGCTCTAAAGTTCTATAGTCCACCCTGTCATCCCCCCCAGTGCCACCCCAAAAACTGGCTCTTCCATTCTCCTTCTCACTCACCGAAAACCTAATCATCATTCTGGGGTCTTCTGGTGCTCTCAGCCTCTTTATCCAGCCCACAGGCAGGCCCTGTCCATTCAACTTCCAGAGTTAAATTCAAATCAATCTGCTACTTTCCACCATCACTCTTCCTCAACTCTCACCCACTACAGTCCATTCTCAGAGCAGCCAGGGTGGTTTTTTTTTTTTTCAAATGTAAATCAGATAACATCCACACTGTTTAAAACCTCCCAGTGGCTTCCCATTATTTAAAAACAACAACAACAAAAACTCGCTGCCATCAATTCCGACTCATAGTGACCCTATAGGACAGAGTAGAACTGTCCCATAGAGTTTCCAAACTTCACGTCTCGGCAGGCAGCAGCCTCCATCCCTCCCCCTCTCCGTGCTCATCTATAAATCCTCTCCCTCCATTTCTCCAATTCAGCCACAAGTGTTCTTTCTGTGCCTCAGCCACATCAAACCCATCCCTGCCTCAGAGCATCAAACTTGCTGTTCCCTCTGTCTGGACCCCGTCCACTATCTGCCCCCCTCTCCCTCGTGGTGTGGCTCCTCCCCATCACTTGGATCTGCACTGGCACTTTCAGCACATCCCTGTTGTATTTCCTTTGTCCAGTAAACTGGCTGCTGTCAAGTTGATTCTGACTTATGACGACCCCATGTGTGTCAGAGTAGAACTGTGCTCCAGAGGGTTTTCAATGGCTGATTTTTCAGCAGTAGATTACCAGGCCTTTCTTCCGAGGTGCCTCTGGGTGGACTTGAACATCCATTCGGTTGGCAGCTGAGCGTGTTGATCTTTGCACCACCCTGGGTCTCCATTTCCTTTGTAGTGCTTATTATTTGCAATCACGGTCACCTTGTTTCCTGTGTCTCTTTTCCCTGCTATGTCCTGGCACATAGTGCATGGTACATGCTTAGTAAATATTTGTTAAATGAATGAGTGGAAAAGAGAGAAGGAGAAAATAGTACTCGCCTTGTGCTTGATACAGTGTGCCTGTTTCTGCTCCTCCCTCCTTGGTGGTGCCTCCTCTCCTCTGCTCTACCTTCTCTTTGGACTCACACTTCCCGGTACTGGTGACCCCTTGGTCCTGCTCTCTTGCTCCAGCTCTCCATGCTTGAAAGCTCTTACTTGCTCACAGCTCATACTGTCAGTCACTGAGCCATTTAGATTCTATGGCTGAAGCCTCTCAAAATTATCTTTCTTCCCTTTTCCAAGGTCACCACTCTTGGCCCCAGCTCCTGATGATCTCACCTGGGACAGAGATCTCCAGTGTCCAGTCTCCTCCCACAGGTTGTGCTCCCACACTGCTTTGCATAGTCATCTGACAGCACCTGTCAAACAGTCCTACCCCTGCTCAAGAACTTTTCATGGCTTCTCAGTGTCTACAGGGTAAACCTCAAGCCCCTCTGCTGGTATCTGTGGCTCTCCCAGATCTGGCCCCCCCTCTCTGCTGCTCTGTTTCCAATTACTCCTTACCCTGTTCTTCATGTTTCAGTCAAATGGAACAGAGTCCATTTCCTATACATGCCTATCCAGGTCTACTGAAAATTTTCTCATCCTTCTAGGCCAGTCTGAACCACTTCCTCCTGGGAACCTTCCTTGATTCAGACCTGCCCAGGTCTCCTCATGGCCCTCCTCATATACTATTTTGTATAATATTAAAACAGTAATAGTAATAACCAAAATAGATTGAACACTAATGTGCAAGGCACTGTAATATATTATCTCATTTAATCCTGACATCAATCTTATGAGGTAGGTGCTATTATTATCCAGGTTTTATAGATGAGGAAACTGAGGCACAGAGAGGGGAAGCGACTTGCCCAAGATTGAACAGATAAAAAGCAAATGAGTCAGGATCTGAACCCATACGTTCTGATTCCAGAGCCCATGCTCTTAACCTCTACTCTATGCTGTGTCCATCTTTGCTCCTTTCTATGAAACAAGGTTCCCTTGCTGCTCGCTCTGCCTGACCTCCCCAACCCCCCCAATTCCTACTTATGCTATGGGAAACACAAGACTCTAATTCTCCAGTAGCATTTCCCAGTATATCACCAACCAGGCGGGGTTAAATGTGCCTCCAGGCTTCCTCTGTCACAGTCCTGAGCACTCTCTTCCCACATGGATTGTGGGACCCAGGTCCACTGTGTCCTCTACATCCAGCAAAGCCCACAGAGGCCTCAGATGGTGCTTGCTGAATGCATGAATGGGGTCAGGGCCAGGTTCTCCTCACAGAATTCTTTCAACACCTAGCACAGTCCCTCAAACAGAAGACACTCAATACATGGCCACTGAATATTGACTGCACTTTCTAAGTGAAGACGGGCACTAGCCTTTGTGGGGCTCTTAGGTGACTGCTCAGACTCTCTCAGCCAGGATGGGCTGGATCCTGCATCAGAGGAGTGACCCCAAGCCCCAAGGCAGAGGCCACTCTCTGGGTGGGAACTGAGGTCCAAAAGACCTTTTCTTGCAGTTGCTCTTATTTGCTGGCTGGCTGGCTCCCTGCCCAGACATCAATTCTCATCTCTCCCTTTACCTGAGCTCCCAATCCCTGTTCTCTGCTCAGATCTAACTTCTCAGAGGCAGTCTCAAAGTGGTAGAAAAATCTGGACTCTGTGTCAGTTTCCAGCCTTACTGCCTTATAGCAATGACACTTTGAAAGAATCTTCATTTCTCTGAGGCTCAGTTTACTCATCTGCAAAACGTGGCTATTGATATCCAGGCCCTGCTTCCTTAGCAGGCTTCTTTACACTTTCTGAAGTGTAAGATGTCAACAATAATTCGCTCTTTCAACAAATATTTATTGCACATTTACTATGTCACACATATCTTGTTAAAGTTTCAGTCTTCACAGTAACCCTCTGAGGTAGATGTTATTAATCTTCATTTTACAGATGAGGAAACTGAGGCTCAGAAGGGGAGGTGACTTGGGACAAGTTGCAGAGATTAGATTTGCGCCAGGTGCATCTGCACTCTTTCCACCCACTCCACTTCCTCCTAGGCTCCCTGCTGGTGACAATTAGCCAGGGCTTGACCAAGCCTTCCATCTGGGTCCCCATCCCCAGGCCTTAGTCCCCCTCAGTATTTGCCTGTGATGTAGATAAGGGGCAGTGAATGTTTCCTGAGCAAATGGAAATCTCAGTTGTGCCTGCTACTGAGATAAGCTCTGAAAAAGTGAAGCATTTCACCCTCTTCATTCTTTTTATGGAAGATGGGGGAAGGGATAGCAAGTTTAATCTATTTGAATCTTTACAGGCACTCTTCCTTTTACAAGTTTGGAAACTTGAGGGATCCCTGTGGGAAGCCCTAGGGATGAATTTCATTTTGCAAGTTCCTGACTCAGGAGCCTACCTCAGGGCTCAGCCAGTCCTTAGCGCCAAGGTCACTCCTCAGGCTCAACTCCAGCCTACAGGAGCTGCTCACCCGCACTCCTCAAAGATGTCTGGATAGTGCCGGAACAGCACAGGCGGGTCCCGGTCACCTCGGACCGGGGCCCCAGGCACAGCCCGGATCCCAGGCCTCCTGCCTCGCCGCCCCCCAGAGCAGGAGCGGTGGATCCACTGGTGTGCTTCCACAGCGAACTTCCTCTTGAAGCGCATGCCGCACTCAGGGCAGGGAAAGGGCCTCTCGCCTGAGTGCATGCGCCGGTGGCTGACCAGCAGCGAGGGATAGGTGAAGCGGCGGCCGCAGTCTGCACACACATGGCGCCGCTGGCTGGTCTGAGCGTCCATGCTGGACACTGGGACCAAAGTCTGTGCACTGCCGGTCTGGTCCCAGGCAGCTTTCAGGGCAGGCTGTGCTCTCACCAAGGCTCTGTTGGTAGTCGAGTCAGAGTTGTGTTTAACTAGCTCTTCAGGTAGCTCGTTCCCAGGCATTTCTCTGGACCCCTCAGCTCCTGACCCTTCCTTCTTCTTGTTTGGGGCGTCTTCTGGGAAACAGGAATTAAGTTACATTTAAAAACACATTTGCACAGACTACGTCAGGTTATAAGGTGCTTTATGTACAGTACTGCCAGAAAGTACTGCCCAGTGATTTAACACACAGGCCTTGAAGGAAGGTAAACAGAGTTCAATCTCTTAAGAGACTTACATGTCAAATGGGAGTAATAAATTTTCTTTACTTCACAGGTTTGTTGGGAAGATTGAATGAGTAGAGGCATGTTAGACATTTAGTAAACGCTCAATAAACTATAGCTATCATTATTGTGGTTTCTTGATTTCTTATAGGGAATTGACTCGAAGACAATGGGTTTGGTTAAGGGTTTTTTTGTTAAAAGATGAGGAAACATATTTGCTCAAGATCTCTCAGCTTGGGGATATGTGAAGCGAGCTGGAAGTGGAGTGAGTGGGTTGTGGGGAAAGAAGAACCAGGTTGTCAACTACTGGGCATTTTCTCTTGAATCACTTTGCTTTGCTTAAGGAACATGAAAGGCAGACCTGCAGCCACTTCCGTTCTTAGCGCCTTTTAGTTTGTTCCTTAAAGGAGAAAGAGTAGGGTTTCCTAGGAAAGGTACCTGAAAACCCAGTCGTCTTGGAGTTGGGCTCCTGATTCTCCTAGCTCAAACAAGTCTTAATGTGACTACTGTCCCAAGTTCTGAACGTTTTGAAACAGGTCTGCCTTCTTCCTTTTCGAGTATGCAACATAGGTTGGTTCTTTAGGGATGCTGGAAGTGGGGATCTGAAAGAAAACTTTGCTAGACAGGAAGCCCTGGAGAGCCAAGTAGGGGAGACTTGGAACAATCTCTCACCTCTTGGAGCTCCTCCCAGGTTCTCCCTCTCCTCAGGATCCTGGGCGGCAGGACTCCAAGCCTCACTCTCCTGTTCCATCCAAGAGATGAGGGCTGGTTTGGGGCCCGGGAATCCTGGGAGAGAACAGGGATCACAGCGCTGGCCTGAGATGCTGTCCTGGGGAGATGGCGTCCCCTTGCCAGGGTGAGGGCATCTCCTCAGAACTAATACTCAACCCAGACAGGGCCTGCAAAGCTCCTGCCTGAGGGAAGTGGATGCGGGATGAAGATTCCCGACGGGGTACCTGAAGCCCTGGGAATGGAAGGTGGCTGGTGCTGCTGGCGGACTAGTGAGGAGTTAGGGCTCACAATCCTCTCGGTCCTTCTATATTGTCTCCCCTGTAAATCCCGGTGAAGGAGAAGCGGGGCTCTGACCCGCGGCCTCACCGAGCGCGCCCAGGTGGCCGTAGGTCTCCCGCATCACGTCCCGGTACAGGGCCCTCTGCGCGGGTCGCAGACACGCCCACTCCTCGGGGGAGAAGTACACGGCCACGTCCACGAACCGCACGGCCCCTGGCTTCTTGCAACCAGGCCGGATCTCCCCCGGTCTCTGCACCAGAAGCGGGGCCGGAGGCGGCGCCATGGGGCTTCCCCGCCCCGGGCAGCAGCCGCCTGGTCCCCGGGCCACCGCCTCCCCGATCCAGGCCTCAGGTTTCGTGGTCCACAGGAAAGGCTGCCCAGGTCGGGGCTCCGCCCAGGCTTGGCGTCCGAACCTGCTAGGGGAACCTCGAAGTACCAGGGACTGGTTGCTAGGAATTCGGGTATTCTGGTAGGAGACAAATAAAACCTCTTCGTGTTTATTCACTTCATGGCCGCCTGAACATAAAGAGCCGGGTTAAGAGATCCGGAAGGTGCCTTCAGAAAATATGGCGACATCCTGGCTTCAACTGTCACTAAGGGCCTGTGACGCGATTCCTTGATCACATCAAATATGGCGCTCTTCTGGTTTCCCTGGCCTCATCTTCGCACTTGCCCTTAAATACCATGGCCGCTTTAGGGTTTACTTTGAGCCGCAGGGGCCGGTAGGAGAGGAAGAGTCCTTTTCAAGACAGAAGCACAGGCCCGGGACTTCAAGTACCTCTCTTTGCCTGTGGTAGACGGCGGCCGATGATTGGCCGCAAGGACAGGAAGAAGCTGCGCCGTGATTGGTTGCGGCATTTGAAAGGACCCGCCGCTCTGAAATCGCCTTCGACCGACTCTGGACTGGAACCTGGATCTTGGCCACTTAGGGAATACCGGATCGTGCCCCGATGTGCTTCCTGATGGCGAGATCTGGAATCTGGTCCTCAGCCCCTGCAGGAAGACGCAGACACCTTGGCCAAACGCTGGGTACAGCTGAGGTAGAAACCAGGTAAGTGTTTACAGTCAACGGACAGCAGCAGAGCCGACAGGAATCCTTGCATACCTGGGTCCCTTTGCTTAGTCTGGGCAGGAGCTGCAGGCGAAGGAACGTGCTTGGTGAAGATGGAATTGGAGGGAAGCTATTTTAAATTGCATTTAAATTTTTGCCAAATTAATGTGTATGGTTTTAAAAAATACTTAAGGTTTATAATGAAAAAGGCAGCCCCATGTACTCTTTATTCCCTACAGGCAACTACTTTTATTGAATTATATCTCACAGCAAAATACACAGATCTTCAGTGCGAAATGCATTGAGTTTTGAAAAAGTACACAACTGTGCAACCATCACCCGAATAAGATATAGGGCTTTTGTTGTTGTGGTGGTGGTACGTATTTTGTAAGAATGGTGTGGCGGTGGCCTCTGACCTCCTCTAACTTCACGAGGAGGAAGAAAGGAGTCTCAAGATCAACAACCCAAGGCTGATTCCTGTGAGGCCGAGGTCAGACATGCCTCAGCCCTGCAGCCTTTTGACCAATTCCCTGACCCCTCGGTCTCTGCCCTGCACCGGCAAGTATTACAGGCAAGTGTTACAAAGCTCTTTTAGCTCCGCAGATAAGTGCCTGGAGGCACCCTACTCCACTAGTAAGCCTCGGCCTGAATACGCTCAGCTTTCTCACTCCGTGGGCCGGGAAGCCCTCTCCTGCCAATCTCCTGGTTCAATTGCCTCTGCTGCCACAGTTTCTGTCACTGCTTCTTGCTGTCTTTGGTGTTACAGCTCTTTCTCTTTGTCTCCTGGGCCTAGGAGGGTCTCAGCACAGGAATCCCGGGTCCAAAGGATGTGTTCAGGATTCAGGTTTGTAAAAATGGCATGGGAGCGGTGTCTGATCGCCTCTAAATTCGCAAGGGGGATGGAGAATCAAGATCAACAGCCCAAGGCTGATTCCTATGAGGCAGAGGTCAGACATGCCTCCTCTCTCCTCCATCTTTACCAATTCTTACACCAACCGTTCCTCCCACAGCACTCTACTTCTCTGCTAGGTTCAGTAATTCATTGCAATGGCCATACAGAACTCACAGACAATACTGATGATTATGGAGTTTATTAGGAAAGTCACAGATTACAATTCAGGCTCAGGAACTCTCAGGATACAGTTCTTCCACCAGGACAGCCTCTTTCCAGCCATACTCACAGGCACACCTCTCCCTGGCCCTTTCGGCCTCTGCCCAAAGGCACTCAGCTTTCTCTCCCTGTGGTCCGGCAAGCCCACTACGCCGTCTCCTGCTGCCGGGTCTCTGCTGCCGCGTCTTGCTGTGTTCAGTGTTACAGCTCTCTCTCTCTCTCTCTGTCTGTCTCCTGGTTCCAGGAGCTTCTCGGTGCAGGGATCCTTGGTCCAAAGGATGTGCTGGCTCCTGGCTGTTCTTCCCTGGTGGTTGGGGGATCCTCTCTCTCCTGCCTCTGGGGTGGCTCATTTCAAGTCCAGTGGGATGGCAAAGCTGACCAATCCCTTTGGTGGGTCACAATTACTCTATCATACAGTCCAGCCCAATCACTTGGGCGGGAGTTACAAGTCCATGGCTAGAAAAAACAAACCCGTTGCCATTGAGTCTATTTCAACTCATAGTGACCCTATAGGACAGAGTAGAACGGCCCCATAGGGTTTCCAAGGAGCAGCTGGTGGATTCGAACTGATAATCTTTTGATTAGCAGCCAAACGCTTAACCACTGTACCACCAGGGCTACACAAAAGTGATCCATTGCACCGCAGGTGTGCTGCAGGTGTCTATCTGATCTGGTAGGTTCTCCAAAAGTCATCTCGGCTTCACCCTCTCTGGCCTCTGATAAAATTTAACTGAGACGTTATTCCCTCGCTCTGAGTCTCTCTCAAAGTATCGGCATAATATTAGATTTCCCCCACTGCATAACCCATTTATGCATTCCTTTACCTTCAGCTATTATTTCTCCTTCCTTCCATTTGTCATGTATTTTTACCCAAACTTTTCCACCTTGGAAAGGGACATTAGGTTTAGTTGCCATGCTGTTCCAGATTGCTGGTAGCAAGATGACACTAGCAAGTGCTTCCCCCTCAGACCACTCCCATTCATGTTGGGCAGAGTTACATCGGTACAACACTAGTGGGCTATCTCAACTACTAGGCAATACGGCAGTATTCACCGTCAACCCCAATTTTGCCAGATGGGGGGAAGGTACAATCTGTCCTATCAGGCCCTTGAGAATTCGTTCATACAGGTTCAAGGGTATAGTTATAGTCTCTTGCTTAGGGATCACCCTTGCTTCTGGCACCCGCAGCTGCATCCCTGGTCCTGGGGTTGCAGTATCCGGCAGGAAAAACTTGTGTAACCCCTCTTTCCCAAATCCCCCAGAGAGAAGTAGGAATCTGTCCAATGGTGATCCTCCCTTTGCCCCCCTCATGTTGAGTGTGAGCACATACTCATGAAGGCATGTAAGCCAGCCCTTTATGCCTTTATCTCCTCATTTTAGATAACAAATATTTCAATTGCCTATTCCAATTCTCTATCAAACCATTACCCTGAGGTGGTATGCAACATGGTATGTCCCTTTACTATGATGTTTCTTGGCCCATTGCTGCACCCTGTGGTCTGTAAAGTGTGTTCCTTGGTCTGATGAAATATAACTGGATGGCCCAAATTGGTACAGTATCTTTTGTTCCAATCCCTTAATGGTGTTTTTGACATTTGCATCTGTCACGGGATATATAAAGCCCAGTCCAGAGTAAGTATCTATTCCTGTGAGGACCCATTTGTAGCCACCTGGTGCCACCGGCATCATTGGTTCAATATAATCAACTTGCCGGTTATGTGCAGAGCCTTCCCCCTGGGGAATCTGCCCCATAGCCATCTGCAACCTCTTTCTTCTTCTTTTTTACTGTACTTTAGATGAAGGTTTACAGAACAAACTAGCTTCTCTAAACAGTTAGTACACATATTGTTTTGTGACATTGGTTTCCAACCCAACGCACAACATGTCAACACTCTCTCCTTCTTGACATTGGGTTTCCTATTACCAGCTTTCCTGCCTCCTCCTGCTTTCTAGTCCTTGCCCCTGGGCTGGTGTGCCCCTATAGTCTCGTTTTGTTTAATGGGCCTGTCTAATCTTTGGCTGAAGGGTGAACCTCAGGAGTGACATCATTACTGAGCTAAAAGGGTGTCCAGGGGCCATACTCTTGGGGTTTCTGCGTCTTTGTTAGACCAGTTTAAGTCTAGTCTTTTTTTTTTTTTTTTTTTTTTTGAGTTAGAACTGTGTTCTACATTTTTCTCCAGCTCTGTCCAGGACCCTCCCTCGTGATTCCTGTTTGAGCAGTCAGTGATGGCAGCCAGGCACCATCCAGCCATGCTGGACTCAGTCTGGTGGAGGCTGCAGTAGTTGTGGTCCAATAGTCCCTTGGACCAGTCTCTCCCTTGTGTCCTTGGATTTCTTCATCCTCCCTTGCTTCAGGCAGGGTGATACCAGTGGAGTATCTTAGATGGCCACTCACAAGCTTTTAAGACCCCACACGCTATTCACCAAAGTAGAATGTAGAACGTTTTCTTTATAATTATGTTTTGCCAACTGAGCTAGATGTTCCCCAAGACCATAGTCCCCATAGCCCTCAGTCTAGCAATTCGGTCCCTCAGGGAGTTTGGATGTGTCCATGGAGTTTCCATGACTTTGCCTTCGTCAAGTTGTGCTGGCTTCCGCAGCATTGTGCACTGTCCCACCCTTCACCAAAGTTACCACTCATCTATTGTCTATTTAGTGTTTTTCCATCCCTACCCCTCCCCTCCCTTGTAACCATCAAAGATTGTTTCTTTCTGTATGTAAACCTTTTCATGAGTTTTTACAGTAGTGGTCTCATGCAATATTTGTCCTTTTGTGATTGACTTAATTTCACTCAGCATAACGCCCTCCAGATTCATCCATGTTGTGAGATGCTTGGTAGATTCATCATTGTTCTTTATCGTTGCCTAGTACTCCATTGTGTGTATGTACCATAGTTTGTTTATCTGTTCATCTGTTGATGGGCATCTAGGTTGTCTCCATCTTTTTGCTATTGTGAACAATGCTGCAGTGAACATGGGTGTGCATATGTCTGTTCGTGTGATGGCTCTTATTTCTCTAGGATATATTCCTAGGAGTGGGATTGTCGGATCATATGGTATTTCTGTTTCTAGCTTTCTAAGGAAATGCCATATTGTTTTCCAAAATGGTTCCACCATTTTGCATTCCCACCAGCAGTGCATAAGAGTTCCAGTCTCCCTGCAGCCTCTCTAACATTCGTTACTTTCTGTTTTTTTGATTTCATGCCAGTAATGCCAGGGCGAGATGGTATCTCACTGTAGTTTTGATTTGCATTTCTCTATTGGCTAGTAATCATGAGCATTTCCTCATGTATCTGTTAGCCACTTGAATGTCTTCTTTGGTGAAGTGTCTGTTTACTTCCTTTGCCCATTGCAACCTCTGTCTTTCTTGCTGGCAGACAGAACAGTCCTTATTGGCATTTTGTGCCTCAGACGGCACAAGAGGGATGTATCTAGATTCAGCCCATCTCTGCATCGCTGCAGCACCCCCATGTCCACTCATTTTATGGACCCAATTGGCCACCTCAAGTGAGCATACCACAGTTCCACTTGCTGATTCCAATCACCTTCCAATCCAGGAAAGGGGGGTCTTCTGATGGGCATTGATATGTCCTACTCTAATGAACCCTCTAAAGTCCCAGAATGCCTTCCATAGGTCCATGCCCCACATGGGCATCTCCTTAATAGTCCAATTTTCCATCACCCATTTGCCTGACCATGTAGCCAGGCCATTGGCCACTGCCCATGAGTCAGTAAAAATCCAAACATATGGGCTGTCACCATTGCCCAATTCTTCCATCACGGCTAGGAGGACAGCATGCAGTTCAGCCCATTGAGTTGACTTGTTCTTACCTTCTTCAATCAGGGTCTCTCCGTCTGCTGGTCTTAATGCAGCAGCTTTCCACATCAAATGTTGACCATGTACCCTGAAACTGCCATCCGTGAACCAAGCAGCCTGCTGCTGGTCAGCAGAAAGTTGTTCATAGGGCACTGTCCATGTAGAAATGGGCTCTGGCAGCTTCTCAGGTGGTTCCAGGATAAGACCTATGGGGAAAAGAGGCTACCTGCTTGTGGATACAGTGGGTGCCTCCCTGCATTCCCCGAGTAGCTTGTTCTTGTATGAACCATTTCCATTTTATTATAGAACTATTTGGGCACCACCTCCCTTATTAGAGTGTTTCTCTGACATCACCTGAGACATTATGGGTATTTCAGGTCTCGTGGTGATTTTATGACCTTCTGTCACTGAGGCAACCTCAATC